TCAGTTTGTCCTCTGCTCAGAAATGGTCTCTTACTGTCAAACTCTGGCCGCTTCCTTCGGCTCTTGCATCTGGAGGATCTGAGTGTGAGAAAACAGCTCCTCTCTGCCAGACGCCTCCCTCTCCGGCTGTCCCCTCAGTGACCCTGGGCGGGCGCCTCCTCCCCAACAGCCTTGGAAAGTCCTGAAGGTTTGGTTTTTCTCTTTTAGGAAGTCAGATGTCACCTCACCCTGCCCTTTCATTAGAAAAAAAAAATTCAAAAGCAATTTGTGTATTTGAAAATACAGCTAAAGCCACAGACTTGAAGTTCCTGTCTTGATGAGCAAAATGAATATTCACACTTGGAAATAATTTTGGGATGTTGAGATAGAGACAGGCAAATTAATCCCAAACTTATCTCCTTATCATTATATTCCTATTATTATTGATTATCATGATAGTAAAACTGACCTTTTTTTTTTTCTGTGTACAGTTCTGTGAATTTTAAAACTGGAATAGATTCGTGTAACCAACACCATGATCAAGATGAAGCAATAGTACCATCACCCTCCAAGACTCCCCCAGGCTATACCTTTGTCTGTCGTACCCTCCTCTCCTCCCTAACTCAGGACACCGTTGATTTGCTCTGCATCACTAAGGTTTTTACTTTTCGAGGGTATCATATAAATGGAATCATGTGATATGCAACTTTTGGGGACTGACCTCTTTCCTTTGGCATAGTGATCCTGAGATTCATTCGTATTGTTTTTATCATTAGTTTCCTTTTATTGCAAGTGGTAATCTAGTGTGTAGGACTGTTCCCGCAATTTATCCATTCACCCATGGAAGGACATTTGAGCTGTTTCCAGTAAACATTCACATACAGGTATTCGTGTAAATAGAGCTTTGATTTTCTAGGGTAAATACCCAGGAGTGTGATCACTGAGTCACATGGTGTAGGCTTAAATTTAGAAGAAGCTGCCAAACACTGTGGCAGGAAAACACTGTGGCAGGAAAACACTGGACCATTTTGCGTTCCTGCCATTGTTCGTGTTTCCTACTTTGCCTATTCAAATGGATACAGTGGTATCTGATCATGGCTGTAATATGAACTTACCTATCGCCTAGTGATGTTGAACATCTTTGTATGTACTTATTTGCCATCTGTATACCCTCTTTGGTGAAGTGTCTATTAAAGTCTTTTGCTAATTTCTAAACCTTAGGTTGTTTTCTTTCTGTTGAGTTTTGAGAGTTCTTTATATATTCTGGATACAAGTCCTTTGCCACATAAATGGTTTGCAGATATTTTCTTTCTAGGATGTAGTTTGTCTTTTAACAAGCATTTTATAGATGAACAGTTATTAATTTTGATGAAGTCAAAGTTGTCAATTTTTTCCTTTTGTGGACCGTGTTTTTAGGGTCATGTCTAAGAATTTTTTTCCTAAGCTCAGGTCATGAAGATTTTTCCATGTGTTTTCTTATACAAGCTTTATGGATTCATGTTTTACATTTAGATCTGTTATACCTCATATGTTAAATTTCCCTACACTGCGAGATTTATATTCAGGTTAATTTTTTTTTTTTTGCCTATAGAGGTCCAGTTGTTAAAATACCATTAGTTGAAAAGACCACCCTTTGTCTGTTGAATTGCTTGGTACCTTTGTCAAGAATCTCTTGGCTGTATCTGTGTGACTATTTCAGGACTTCGTAGGCTGTTCCACCCATTTATGTGTGTACCCTTCCACCATCATCACAATGTCTTGTTTGCAGTAGGTTTGTTAGCAACTCCTGAAATATGCCAAATGATTCCTCCAATTTTATTCTTCTTCTTCAAAATTGTTTTAGTGATTGTAGTTTATTTGCTTTTTCATATACATTTTATAATTGGCTTATGTATATATATTTACATATACACATAGAAAATTTCTGCTGAGATTTGAATTGTGCTAAATCTACAAATATATCTGAGGAGAATTGACATCTTTATTATGCTTAGTCTTCCAATCCATAAACACAGTATATATGTCCATTAGTAAGGTCTTCTTTGAGACTTTTCATTAGCATTTTGTGGTTTTCAGCATATAGCTCCTGTAAATAATTTGTCAGGCTTATAACTAAATGTTTCATTTTTTCGGAGCTATTGTAAATGATATATTAATTTCAGTTTCCAATTGTACATTGCTAGTATATTAAAGTATGATGATTTTTGTGTGTTGATTTGTATCTAATGACCTTAATAAAGTTGCTTATTAGCTCTAGGACTTCATTTGTGTGTGCGTGTGTGTGTGTGTGTGTGTATGTGTGTGTGCAAATTCCTTGGGATTTTGTACACAGGCAATTGTTGTTATGCGAAAACAGGGACAGATTTTCTTCTTCCTTTTTAATCTATATGTCTTTTATTTCTTCTTCTTGCCTTACTGTACAGGCTAGGACTTCCAGTATGATATTGAAAGGAAGCAGTGGGAGTACACCTCCTTTTCTTGTTCTCTGTCTCAGGGCCAGAGCATCCAGTCTTCCCCCATTATGAACAACGGCAGCTGTAGGTTTTCAGTAGATGCCCTTTACAGTTTGAGGAAGTTTCTCTCTTTGTCTATGTCTGGTTTGCTGAGAGGTTTTTTTTTTTAAATCCTGTTGCATTTTGTCAGATGATTTTTCTACATCGATTGATATGGTCTTTCTTCTTTATACTCTTCTTGGAGGATGTTGGTCTGTAGTTATCATTTTTTGTACTGTCTGTCTGATTTTGGTATCAGGGTAATGTGTGAGCTCATAAAATAAGTTTGGAAGCATTTATTCTTCTATTTTCTGGAAGTGATTGTGTAGAATTGGTGTTATTTCTTCTTTGACTACTTAGTAGAATTACCCAGTGAAACCATCCAGGCCAGGAAAATTCTTTTTCAGAAAGTTTTAAATGATGCATTCAATTTCTTTAATAGTTATAAGACCATTCATGTCATCTAATTCAAATTGGTAGTTTGTGATTTTGGGAAATGGGTTTATTTCATCAAAGTAGTTACATTTCTACATATAGAGTTGTTCATAATATTCCCTATCTTTTAATGTCTGTGGAACTTGTAGTGATAGTCTCTGTTTCGATCTGGATAGTGATAAGTTGTGTAGTTTCTCTTATGTTCTTTGCCACTCTTCCTAGAGGTTTATCGATTTTATTGATCTTTTCAACAAACCAGTTTTTGTTCCACTGATTTTCCCTATTTCTTTTTTTTCTGTTTTCTATTTACTCAATTTCCCTTCTTTATTATTCCCTGTGGATTTCTCATCAGAAACCATGGCGGCCAGAGGAAGTGGCACCACACTGAAAAGTGCTCAAAGAAAAGAACTGTCAATCCAGAAATCAATATCCAGTGAAGTATCTTTCACTAGGGATGGGGAAGAGCGATGTCATGGTAAATATCTGGGTACTTACTTCTCCTCTTGAGTCTTTAACAATATACTTAATCTGTCTTTATTCAGAGAAGTTATGTGCCCAGTCAGTATCCAGGGGGCCTATTACAAGGAACACAGGAAGAAAGAGTGAAAATTAGAGAACAACGCCAGTCTCTGCGGAAGGCCCCTTCGTGCTGTTCCTGTGCAGTGAGGACCGGGCCTTCTGTGGTGTCTGCACCCGTCAGTCCCACTGCTGATTTATATAGCTCTGGTTTGCCTAATGCCCATTCTAGAAGTTTGAAGGAATGAGATTATATTCCCACTTGGGGGCTTTGTTTTACTTCCTTTGAAGAAAGGGGGAGATAGAATTTGGGATTTGATGAGTACTTTCTGTTCTCCCAAATTTTTGTTGTCAGGAATCCGCATTTATTCGACTAATTCATATGGTGGGGCGTCCAATTTTTAGACAGTTCCATATTTAAATTTATCGTTCAATCCTCACATTAGCTGTGGGTTTTAGATATAATTATCCACATTTTACAAATGTAAAGACTGTTGCTCAGGAGGCTTTTGTAACTGGCCCAAGGCCAAAGAGCTGGCAAGTAGCAGTGCCGAGATTTGTGCTCGGGTCTCTGACCGCGAGTTCTGAGCTCTCCCAGAGCATTGTTCTAGCTTCATTCCCTATGCTGACAAGGTGGTTTTGTGTGCCTGGGCACTAAATTCCACTGTGTCAGCATGCCTAGACTGTTTGTGCAAGCAGTGCGACTTCAGGTGGACCCCTGCTTTTCCCCTGGGAGTCTTGAACTGCAGGTGGAGAAGGGTGCCTGCGTGGCCAGCCCCCAGTAAAATCCCTGGTCTCTGAGTCTCAGACAGGCTTTCCTGGGCAGAAAGGCTGGGGTGTCCCTGTGTGGCCTCTCACTCGTGGGAGGATGTAGGAAGCCTACATCTGGATTCTTCCAGAGTCCACCTAATGTGTTTTTTCCCCTTGTTGTTGCTGCTGTGTATATTTATGCTGTAATAAAACTTAGTCATCCATGAGAACAGCCACGTGCCGAGCCTTGTGGGTCCCCCGGTGGAGTGCTGGGTGTGAGGGTGGCTGTGGGACCCCAACACGGGCAGATACTGGTCCCAAGACCCAGGTGACTGAATTCAGACCCCTGCTTCTATTATGGCCCTTGACGGATTCCCTTATTTTCTGGACAATTCGGCCATGGATTAAAAATGATATGATCCATGTTTTATCCAGCAGTTTTAGGTATTTTCGTGGGACAATTTTTATTTAATATTTCTATTTCACCATTTTGTTGGATGCCCTGTGTTATAAAAATGATTCTAAAATGATTACATTTTGGTCTTATATTGCCTGCTTCTTAATCTTTCCAAACAGTCAAAATAAAAAAAATCCAATTCTCAAATTGCCAAGCATTCACCTTCTTAAATCTGAATGGCAGGGAGAGAGGCACAGATTCTCGGCCCCTGTTGTCTTTCATTCCCCAGCCCTGGACCTGCAGGCCCAGGCCCGGCCTCTCAGAGGGTCTGGCTGCAGGGCTGGCCACTCTGGACCCAGGTCTGCTGTCGGCTCATTCTCCACTGCCTCCCCCGGCCAAGAGCAAGTCCCTGAAATAACTGAGTATGAAGCTGTGAACAACAGCGTGAGAGTTTATTATCAAATTATTGCTCAAGAGGGGACCCGCAGCAGAGCAGAGTGGTGAGGGAGCAGGAAAGGGGCAGGCGCTGCTGTGACAGCAGGTGGAGCAGGGCAGTGGCTGTGGCTGCAACAGGGACCAGGGCTACTGCAGAGCCTCCTTCCCCGCCTGGTTCTTCTTCCAGAAGGCAGAGGCAGGGCTGCCATGGCAGAAGGGGACGCCGGGCATGGCTAGCTGCCGCTCACTTCCAGCAGCTTCTTCTGGTCTTTTTCCTAAGGGAGGGAGAAGGGCAAGACCACCCTGACTGGGAGAGCAAGGGTGCATTCTCTCCTACAGGGCAGCTTGGTTCTGCAGCTGGCCGGTTCCCATGCTGCCGCCTGGGCCCTGATGTGGAGAGCCCCAAGGTTTGTCGTGGATGTAGACTTCCCTGGTTTCCTGGGGTCTTTTGCTCGGGGGCCACATGGTTGGGGACAGGGACTCTCTGGGCTGGGCCACCACTGGGGTGGAAAGATAGGCATATGCTACCTGGGACTTGTGTAACGGGCCCTTTTCTCCACTCCAGACCATCCAGTCTCTGTTCCTGTCTCCTCTGAACAGCCCTGCAGCCCCAGACACACACACATGCACTCCAGGGACTCACCTCCTTGCACGGGAGTCTTCTCCAGCAGTACAGCCACAGAGGCGCCAGAGAGGCCAGGAGCAGCAGAATCCAGATACCCAAGAGCATGGCCTGAAGGCCTATGAACAAGGCCTGGGGACAGAGGACCCAGGCTTCAGGCACCAGGGTGACACTGCCTTCCTGCTGTGTCCCCCCACTGCTCACTGACACGGGTCACGTTCCACCCCTACATCCCCAAGTTCATGGCTTCTGGAGGGGGTAATGTACCAAGTGTGCAGAATGCAGCCAGAAGCCCCTCTCACTAGCTGGTGTCCTCACCCACACAGAGCTGGGCGTGGGCTGTGATTTCACTCCCTGATAACCTCCAAGACTTGAGAGGATCAAGGAAGAACACCGATTTAGCACCTCTGCAGCACGTGCACACTTGCAACTTTGGTTCAATTGTTACCATTTTAAGAATGTCTGCATTTACACCCCCTACTGCCGGAGCTGTTTCTGCTTTGTTCAATGCTGTGTCTTTGTTGACAATTATGAAGCTTGGAGCAGAAGAGGCAACACCTGTTTCTGGTGGCGAGCCTGACTCTGGTTCCCAGCCTGGCCCCCCCCCCCCCCCCCCCGCCCAGTATCTGCTGCTGCCCCTCCCCTCGCCACCTACCTGCAGCATGTTCACGTAGGAGGAGCACAGGTGTAGCCTTCTGACTTCGTCCGGACTCTGGGTGCTGGGGGGTGGGGTGTACCAGTACCCTGACGAGGAGTCACATCTGCAGACATAGTCGCTATAATCATAGCCATACCAGAAACTATTGGCCCAAGATACAATAGCAGCAATGGCTGTGGCGAAAGCTGCCAGTGCCAGCAGGGTCCTCAGCAGGCCCTGGGGAGGGAAGAGGCAGAGGGAGACCTCAGAGATTCAGTCTCTCCCAGAGCCCAGCCCGGGGGAAAGAGGGCAAGGCCCACTGGAGCCGGTGTATGAAGGGGCAGGAGCTTGGGGTGGCCTCCAGCCTGAGCATGGTCCCTTCCCCTGCCCTTTCCTGAACTCACCCAGCAGATGCCACCCTGTTTCTCATAAATGAAGGCAACAGCTCCAGCCAGCACAGCCTAGGGAGAGATTAAGCCAGGAGCAGGGTTAGCACAGGAACTGCGAGTCCCCTCCCACTGCCTGCTTCTGTTTTCCTAGTAACCCTGCAGAGGGAGCTGACCTGTGGCCAGGCCTTCCCCAGCACCCGCTACGTGGATGGGTACAAAGTTCTGTGCTAAGCTCTGTGTCTGTGTTAAGATAACTGTCGGGGGTGTTGAGTCTGGACCAAACTCATGAGGCTGCAGAACACTGAAACAGTGACACCAGACAGTGCTGTGGTCAAGCCAGGCACTCCCTCCTCCACAACCTTCCTTTTTAAGCAACACCAAGTGCTTTATGAACATCCCAGGGACGTTGGCATCTTGTGGCTGGAAGTCGTGGTGTGCTGGAGAAGCCGTGAGTGCGGCACGCATCTTTGGGCTGCCTCGGGTCTAGAAGCCTACCAGCGCCCCGGCAGTGTGCCTAGCTGGGCTGGAAGAGCAGGAAGTCTAGTATATCCCGTGGGACAGACGGACCTAAATCCACCTGGCTGCTCTGTAACTAATCTGTGTGTTTTTGCCATTGGATGGATAAAGATGATTACTTCTGGCTCCTCTCTCAATAAATATGTGTGTTTTGGTGATATTCTGAGAGTGTGGATATGTCCAAAGGTGGCTCCCTCCTACCAAGCTCCTATGCAGACTGCACTGCTGACATTAATCCCCGAGTCCTACTGTGTGCAGGACCTGCAGGGGACAATGGGAATAACCAGGAGGTGACACTTCCTTGTGGATCACATATTGTCTGGCACATTCTGCCTCCCCTCTCAATGCATGCATCTGCAGGTGAGTGGGTCCTTAGACCCCTAGTTGATGTTTGCTGTTGAGGTGCGGAGAGGCAGCCAGCCTGGTGGGAGAAGCACTGGGCAGGGAACCCGGAGAGCTGACCATGTGGCTTTGGACATGACACCACTTCCCTTGGCAGGGAATGGGCCTGGATAATCAGGGTGCTCCCGATGGCTAGCGTTCTGTAGCACGTGGAAGGTGGTGGTATGAAGGCAACAGGACAGCAGCACCTCCACCTCTGACTGCAGCTCAACCTCCCACCTGCCCGACTCACCACAACGCCTGCCCAGATGGCGGCCCCTGAGCCGAGCAGCCTGGAGTAGATGCAGATATAGAGGAATCCTCCCAGGACCCCACTCAAGATGCCCAGCACAATCTGCACCACCTGCAAGACAAAGGGCCTGAGAGCCCAGCTCCCAGCTGCCCGGGCACAGAGGCAGCCTTCTGCCCCCAAGCCCTAGGAGAGCTCTGTGGGCCTGCTCCTCTCGGTATCCATGGCTAAAACCCATGAAAGAGAAAGAGCATGGGGTAGGAGGAAGCAGAGGAGGGAGAGGGAGAAGAGGGAGGAGGGAGGAGGAGAAGAGGGAGAAAGGGAGGGAGGAAAAGGAGAGGAGGGGGAGGTAAGGGAGGGAGAGAGGAGGGGAAGGACGGAAAGAGAAGGGCAGGGCAGCTAGGGAAGAGGAGAGAGGAGGAGAGGCTGCCCTTCCTGAGTGTGGGGAGGGGAGGACAGACTCAGGGCTCCATGGACGGGCTGTGCAAGGCCAGCAGCTCCTTTGCAGCCCTTCCATGCGAGCCTTCCTCCCCACAGCTCCTACGGAGAAGGCCAGGGAGCTGCCTTCCAAGTCAGAGGATAGATAAGCTGGCTCTTCGTCCATTCAGAGAGAGGCTGGCAGAGGGTGTGCATGGCAAGGAGAGAGCCCGTCCTTGGCCTGCTGTGAGGGGGCTGGGGTGTCCAGCCCCATGAGATCAGCAGCCACACTCACCCATGAGGCCACCAGCAGCCGGCTGCTGCCTGGGGTTTTGCTGGCTGGGCGCTGCAGCCAGGAGTAGCATCCGGTCAGCAGGGGCTTGACCAGGGCTGACTCCTGATGGATGTGCACGTCGATGCGGGTGGGCTGTGGGGCCTCGGGGGCCAGCTCACCACCCTCTGTCATCCCCATGGCCAGGGACATCTCTGAGGGAGAAGGGGGCAGCAGGGAGGAAGAGCTGACAGAAGATTTTTACACATTTCATTGGAGTTGGGGAGGTCAGAGGCCAGTGGGGGCTCAGGGACACCCAATGGTTGCCCCTGGTCACAAGGCTGCCCTCCTGGCCCCCGAGGGCATCTGTCAGGGCACTCTGACTCTGCTGGGGCTGCGAGACTGCTGAGCCTTCTGGAACTTCCCCCTTAGTCCCAGATCTGCTCAGTCCTCCTCCTCTTCCTCCCTGGGCCTTCTCACCCCTCTGTCGTGCTCACCCCTTGTGACAATGCTGCCCACTTCTACGGAGCCCCAGCCCTGCTGCCTGCGGAGCTCCCACTACAGCAGCTGCGCCCCGGCTGGGCTCCGGGTCCCAGCCCCGACCTCCCTCTCTACTAATGGCCCCCCCGCGCCCACGGCCTGCTCCAGCCCGCCCTGCCCCGGGAAGGACTGGTCTGCAGCGCAGAGGAAGGTCAAAGGCCACGGGCGGGCGGGCGCACCTGGTCTCTCTCGGGCCCTCTCTGGAGTCACATCCCTGTGCGGGGACCCTCCTCCCTCTCCCTGTCCAGTGTGCTACAAGGGCGCAGGGTAGGGCCGGGCTGCGGCCCTGGACACCGCTGGGGAGGGTCCTGTGCCGAGAGCTCCTGCAGGGGCCAGGGCATGGGGCGCCGCTCACCTGTTGTCCTCGGGGCCCTTGGCGAGAGTGCCGCGCAGGGCCTGGGCGAGGACCGCGGCTGGGCGGGAGGCGGGGAGGAGAGGGGACGGAGGGGAGGGAGGGGACGGAGGGGAGGGAGGGGAGGGAGGGGAGGAGCGGGCTTCCGCCCACGGTTTCCCGGCAGCCGGCTGGGCCCAGGGACCCCTCCGGGGCTTTCCAGAGGCCGGTGGGTCACTGAGCTGCGGGCGCGGGAGGTGGGGAGTGCGAGGGGGGCCGCCCGGGAAAGCCTGAGCTCGTCCTAGCCCCAGCCCCCAGCCAGGGCTCTCTGGACCAGGGTGGGCCTGGCGGCGCGTGCGCGCGCCTCGCGTGCCGCCTGCTGTGAGCGCGCGTGAGTGTGCGCGCGGGCCCCGCCTGCTGCCGCAGACCGTCGGCTGGAGACCGAACCCCTCTGCAGCCCCCTCCGCCCAGCTGTTTGTCGGGAAGCCGCAGGGCCCAGGCCAAGCCTCGCCCTCCGCCTCTTTTTTGTCGCTCTCCCGCTCTCCCTTCGTCCCCGCCCTCCCGCCGCGGGTCCCCAGCTCCCGGTCGGCTCCTGGCAGCCCCGCTCTGCTCTGGCGCCTGGAGAACAGCAGGTGAGGCGGGGCCCTTCACAGCCCGGGTGGCCCCTTTGCCAGGGTCTGTCTTGCCGCAGCACCCTTCTCTCGAGAGTCTCCAAGACCACCCTCCAAGCCCCATCCTGTCCACGGGATGCCGTTCTTCCCGCATTGCTGGCTTCCCGCAGGACTCGCGTGGGTGGGAGGAATAGCTGATGGGGACGTTACCTTAGGAACAAGGCTGGGGAAGGGAGGCCTGTGCCTGGCTGGGGTGGACGAGGCTCCTTTGCGACACACCGGTGCCCTAGGGTGGAATGGCTGCGGGGACGGCCCCAGGGCCTGGCAGGGGTGCCGGCCTCTTTCCTCAGCTCCAGGCCAGGAGGAGCTGGGCAGGGAAAAGTCCAGGCGGCAGGGAAGAGCCCCACCACCTGGAGCCTCCGTGGCTGGCCTGGATCAGATCCGCCTCCTGAGGGGAAGGGGCTGGTGAGGCAGGTTGGGGTTCGGGTGGGGCGAGGAAGCGGTGGTGGTACCCGGCTGGAGCCTGAGGCGTGCAAGATCTGGCAGGAATCAAAAAAAATCAAGGCTAGAATTCCTTTTGTGTGTCTGTAAGTCTGAATCTCCTTTGTGTATCTGCAGAATTGTCAAACACCTGTATTTTTTTTTTTTTTTTTTGAGACAAAGACGCTCTGTCACCTGGGCTATAATGCTGTGGCGTCATCCTAGCTCACTGCCACCTCAAACCCCTGGGCTCAAGCGATCCTACTGCCTCAGCCCCCCTCCCCCCCCAGTAGCTGGGACTACAGGTGTTACTACCACGCCAGGCTAATTTTTTCTATTTTTAGTAGAGAAGGGGGCTCGCTCTTGCTCAGGCTGGTCTTGAACTCCTGACTTGAAGTGATCCTTCTGCCTTGGCCTCCCAGAGTGCTAGGATTACAGGTGTGAGCTGCCCCTTAAACACCTGTCCTTTATAACTCAAAGGAGGCCAGGTGGGTGAAAGTGAAATTGCTCTGACAAGTACCTAGAGCACAAATGGGAGGTGTTATTAGAGTTGTTATTAATATTTGATTTAAATTGTGATGCTTAACCAGAATGCCCCTTAGAATGGCCTATGCAGGATTTAATTTGGAGGTAGACAACTTGATTCTAAAGTGTACATGGTGAAGTAATCTAGCAAAAATGGCGGAGACAATTCTGAAAAAAAAAAAAAAAGCTAACCGTGAGAGGATCATGAAACAGCCCAATTACATATTAAACTCTGCACTTAGAATTAAAATTGTGGTAACAATGCATGACTCATTAGACATACCAATGGGCAGAATATAAAGACTAGAATAGGCCTAAATTCCTGTGGGAACCTCCTATTTGCTCAGAAGAGAATTTTAAATGAGTGAGAGAAAAATGATGTATTCTGCAAATGGAGCACACTCTTCAGAAATTAACCGTCGGAACAGCAACAACAACAACTTGGATCTATGTTTTTCAACTTATGAAATAAATTCTAGATAAATCAACCTTTAAAAGTGAAAACTGAAAGCATAAAACTACTTAGAAGAAAAATGGAAGAATTATTTTATAATCTTAAAATGGGGAAGTATGATATAAAACCTAGACACCAGAAAAAGAATGAAACTTTGATTATATAAAATACAAGCAAAGTCAAAAAATAAATCACAAATTATAAAGAAATATTTGAAACTCATATCACAGATGGTAGTCTTTTGAATAAACAAAGAACTCCTATAGACCAAAGGAAAACAGAACAGAAAGGACATAGGACACAACTGGGGAGCTCACAAAAGAAGAAATAAATATGGCTCTTAATGTATGGAAAGATGATCAACCTTACTCCTAATAGGAGAACTACAGATTAAAACTATACTGAAATAGTTACAGACAGCAGATCAGTGGTTGCATGTGGCCAGTGGTTGGGGGCTTTCCTGGGCAGGGGTACTAGGGAAATTTTTGCAACATAGAAATGTTGTACATCTTGATTATAGCTGTAGTTTCATGAATGTATACATTTATCAAAACTCATTGAGATTTACATTTAAAATGGGGCATTTTATTGCATGAGGTTGTTTAAAATCTACAGTGGAGTGTAATTTTCCCCATATAAAATTGAAAAAGATAAAAGAATTTGTTAACACACTCTGTTGGCAGTGGGAGGGGCAGCTCCACTCTTGGATGGTGCATCTGCATGGGAATCGCTACCACCTCTGTGGAGGATACCTGGCAACACCTGCTAAAATTGCAAATGCAAATGCAGCAGTCCTGTTGGCCTGCTAATTCCACATTGACTATAATGGGGAAGCATTGGATGTAACCAAAATGTCTATCAATAAGGGACCACTTAAATAAAGTAATATGGACTCAGACCCTGGAATCCTATGTAATTACACAAATGAGTGAAGAAGCTTTCACAGAAGTTGTCAGAATCAAAATGGAGTCGCTTGCGCTAACGCAAAACAAAAAACCAAAAAGCCCTGACAAATAGAGCTGGGAGGGCCATGAAGGAAGGGTTCTTATGCATAAGTGCCTGATAACAAAAACTATCACAAAGTACTCTGCAAAGACCACAACCTTGCACTAAGGCCATCACAACCTTACACAAAACATACTTCTGCAGGACATCTGCCCAGGAATTGCCTGTCCAACCTTGGACTGGTGTCACCTTTGTTATCGATTGTTGTAGCCAAGGATAATTATCCTAAAACAATTTTGTGGCTCTCCCCACTTTTCCTTTAAAATCCTTTGTCTTTTTTACCTCCCTGGATATGCATGTGGTTTCCTATGGCACATGTATTCCCACTGCAGTCTATTCCCATCATTTCTTTTAAAGAGAGCCTTTCTCTGTTACTTAGCTTGGTACTTTTTATGGACTGATTAGGATTATCCTAAAAACAAATGATCATGTGAACACAGCATTGTGCAGATTGGTGTGTTTAGTATGCTGCTGTTTGCAGGAAAAGCCAGGGGGAGACATAATGTTTTTACCTGCTTTTGTATGCAGAAAATGTCACCAGCATTTATAAGAAACTGATAGCATGTTTCCATCTGGAAGGCAGCTAGGTGGCTGGGAGAAAAAGATGGGAGATAGGTATACCCTTTTGTGTTTTTTGAAATTTTTAGCTAGTAAAAGTATTACTGTGTTTTCCCGAAAATAAGACCTACCCATAAAATAAGCCCTAGCAGGATCTCTAAGCATTTGCACAATAGAAGCCCCACCCCGAAAATAAGACCTAGTGATGGGCGTGGCTACGCAGCGTATCTGCACAACCCGTGCTTTTCGTCGTCGTGGAGCAGGAAAGAAGATGAGCAGCCCTTCTCATCTGCCCCATCGTGACAGCTACTATCCCAGAGGTGACCGGAAAGGTGCGGGCAGCCCCACCAATAAGGTCGGCTCCCCCTGTCAGGTCCCGGCCATCCTGTGCGTGCTGCAAGCTGAGGCTTTGAGGGGAAAACAACAAGTCCCCTGAAAATAAGCCCTAGGGTGTCTTCTTGAAGAAAAATAAATTTATAAGACCCTGTATTATTTTTTGGGGAAACATGGTATACATAAATGTGTATGCACTCAGTCACTAAAAAAATTGAGATGCCTTTCTTTGTCCCACCCTAGACCCTAGACAAGCTGCATTAAATAATCTTGGGAGGGGACCAAAGAATGTATGTGATGAGCAGCTCTAGAAGTAATTCAGGTTTACATCCCAGATTAAGGTCACTGTAACATTGACATCTGTACTGGAAGACCCTTTGGATCTTGACAAGGAGACCACTTTCTCTCCACTCGCCCGTGCTGTGTACTCCCTGTCACCTAGTTCCCAGACTTCACTTCTGTAGGTCTCCTTCCCAACAGGCACGATGGAGCAGAACGCAGTGACTGTGAATGGCGTTGCTGTGGGCTCTACGCCGACCCAGCCCACCCAGATCAACATCCACATCCACCAGGAGTCGGCCCTGTCAGAGCTGCTGAAGGCACTGGGCTCCCTGAAGAAGTTCCTTCCTTGGTCTAAGGACGCTCAGCCTTCCAAGACCAGGATAAGCTATGGGCAGCTGGCTCTCGGGGTAAGAGTGGGCTGGCAGGTGCATGAAGGAGGTGACAAAGATGGTGGGGTTGGAGCCACTGAAAATATAGAGCCCAATCTCTGACATTAAAATGTCTCATTTGCGGGGCAAGAATCGCAACTGAGGGGGATCCACACAAACCACGTGGTCTTCAGGATGTTCTTAGAACAAAGAGAAGGTCAGAGGTTTGTAAAAGGAGAAATGTTACATGCTGTTCTTCAAGAGAGTCGGTTGGCACTAGTAAGGTTTGGGGAGCTGGCAAGGTCTGATGGGTGAGTGACAGCGTGGGTACCACGGGTCTGAGAGTCCCGGCAGGCCATGTCTGCAGCCACGCTTGCCGAGAATTACATTCTTGGAGCAAAGTTTTGTGCCCTAAGTGCTCTTTACTTCTGGCTTTTAAACTCTGTTTTAGTTGGCTGTGACAAGATGGGCTCATGTCGTCTGACCGACTTTCACAGTGGAAACTCTATTTCTTCGATACTGTGCAAAAAAAAGGAAAGAGGGTTGGATCCCTTTGAGGAGGGACATGAGAACTCACTGTAGCTCATCTTGCATAGGGAAAGGTTTTGGCAGTTTCCCCACAGAGATTGGTATAGAAAGGAATAATTAACCTCTTTGGTGCAGAGAGGTGGGTCCCAGTCAGAGGTGGGGCGGCAGGAAGAACCTCTGGCGGCTGTTCGTTCAGTTCCTTGCACCCGCATGCACTGGGGGCTTGCAGGTGCGAGGCCATGAGCTGGGCACTTCAGGGAAAATTACAGAGAGAACCCCCAGGCTATTTCCTACAGATGCCTAGCGTCCATCGGGAGGGATCCGGTAACCACCCAAACAACTCGAATTAAAGGTAGATCAGGTGAGATGAGAAGCCAGGAACGCCCCTGAGTGGAGGAGGAGTGGCTTTAGACAGGTAGAGGCGGAAGGTGGAAGAGAAAGAATCCCAGGTTATGGGAATGGCAGGAGGTAAGTCAAAGAGGCCAGAGAGCACAGGGCAGCACTGCAGTAGTGAAGAGCAAGGAGGCTGGGCCGCGTGGCTGAAGAGGGGCCGTGTTGCCGAGAGCCTTGAGGGACAGGGCGAGGGGTGAACCAGCTTCAGCAGTGGGAAGGCTGTGGATAGATGCTCAGCAGGAACCTGGGCTCAGGGCTGCTGTTGGGAGGTGTCCAGGCAAGCAGTATCGAGGGTCTGTGCTTGCATGATCGTAGCAGAAGTGGTGAGGAAAACAGGAGTCTAAGTCCTTTGTGGACAGGGATTCCATGAGTTGGGAGTGAATGGGTTTGGGGTATAAGGGAAGAGTCCAGAAACATGGAGAGGTTTGAAGTGTGGATGACCAGGAGATTGGAGGAGCAGACATCGGAGGTGTGTGGGGGGGTGATGTGGAATTTGGATGTGACCAATCTGAGATGCTGGCAGGACATGCAGGTGGTGATGTTCAAGAGGCTGTGGCAGTTGGGTTCTCCAGGCAGTAGAGGCTGATGGGAGTTAGGTGTGCAGATGGTTTATTTCATTTCAGGTATAAACCCCTGAAATGGAAGGTAGGGGTGCAGGCCTGGGCGGAGGGAACCCTCAGGCTACAATGCAGACTCTGCCAGCCAGAGGGGAGCACCCTGGCAGAGACTGCCCACTGCAGGAGCCCCACGTCGGGTAGAATGGCCTTGAGCCACTGCCTTGCTTAATCATTTTCTGGGGTGTGGCTGGAGGATCCCCTAAAGAGTGTGCCCTCAGCTGAAAAGATGAGGCTGACCCCAAAGGGGCTGACAACGGTTGGCTCTCAGCAGAAGGTCTTAGCAGTACATTTTTGTGTCTGCCACCGAGCCCCCAGAAGTGTGTGTTTGGATCTGAAGGCTGGGGCCAGAGGCTGAGCTCAGGCTGAGTTTGGATGGGGGATGGGGCTCCCATGGGAAAACGAGGAGGAAAACGGTGGGACTGTTCGGGTGGGATGAGAAAGAGTTGAAATGGGGAAAAAGTAGTGGAGAATAAACAGCCAAGCCTACAAGAGGGATGAGGGGAGACCCAGGCCAGCGCAGCCTCATGGGTGTTAAGGATGCAGAACCTTCCAGAATCAGAGCTGTGAAGAGGTCAAGGCAGAGGAAGAGGAGGGCGGGCCGCCTGGCTGGGAGCTGGGCAGCAGCTCCTGGGGCTGCAGGGCACGTGGGCTCACGGGAGGGTCTGGTTTCTCATCCTGCCTTGCAGGTGGCTCAGATCCTGCTGGGGGTCGTGAGCTGTGCCATCGGGGTGTGTCTCTGCTTCGGGCCCTGGATCGAGCTGCGCACCTCGGGCTGCGCCTTCTGGGCAGGGTCTGTGGTGAGTGAGGACGGGGGGAGGCGAGTGGTTACGGGCCAGGAGACAGTTCCTTTGCATCCAGCAGGCCGGGGATTCGGGGAGCACCTAAAGACTCAGGTGCAGATGCCCTGCGTGAGGACGCTGCCTTGTGGGGCGGGTGTAGCCCTGCTGCTCCATTTCTCCTCTCCGGCGGAGTCGGGAGGGGACAGTTGGGTCCTGTCCCTGTGCTGGGTTCTTTGCTTGTCTCTCGGGCCCGCCTCAGACTGGCTGTTCTGGGAACTGAGGGAGGAAGGGTGGTGGAGGACCAATTCAGGGGAGCACGTTGGAGGCCTCTTTCTTCTCCTTCCAGGCGATCGCAGCCGGGGCCGCGGCCATAGTCCACGAGAAGCACCGGGGCAAACTTTCGGTGAGTCTCTGATGTCTCTGTCTCCCACCCTGTCCATCCACCCCCTCCTGTGTCTGCTCTGTTGTTTTGTCTTCTGCCCTTTGGTTCCCAGTATCCTGGGGTCATTCCCAGAGGGGCGGGGAGGCTTTCCTGGACAGGGGCTGGGGAGGAGAAATGGGTTTGAGGCGGGGACCTCACAGCTCTGCGTCGTGTCCTGACCCTCTCTCTGCCAGGGCTCTGTGTCCTTCCTGCTCATCCTGGCTGGTGCCGCTACGGCTGTGGCTGCTCTTATCGTCTGTGTGAACAGCTTAACCTGGCAGACCGATGGCTTCTTCTACATCGACTCCGTGTGTGATTGCCCAGGGGCTGTCGAGCCCACCACTGGGTACATATGGAAGCAGAGAAAAGACCGCCCAGAGTGGCAGGAGGAGCAGTGCCGGGCCTACATGGGAATGCTGGTGGTGAGAGCCGGGGTCCCGTCCTCAGGGCCCTGTCACAGCCTTTGCTCCCGAGGTGCCGGGCCTGGGGGGCACAGAGGCGCAGGCTTCCCCAGCTTGGACCTCACCTTAGGTCTCTGCTCCAGGAGGTTTTAACGTAAGCTGAAGACGTTTCTCAGACCCTCATGGCAGGTGGGGTTCTCTGAACCAAAGGGGATGGGGAGCAGAGAGATGATTGTGGGCCGCCACCTGCCTTTTCCTGTGTGTGCGTATTCCAGTTTTCTATTGCTTAATTAAAAATCACCCCAAAATAAAACTACAATTTATTAGTAATTCTCACAGTTCTGTGGGTTGACTGGACTAAGATGGGCAGTTACAGTCAGGTGTCATTTGGGGCTGAAGTCATCCAGTGCTCGGCTGGGCTGGGTGGCAGCTGGGGCTGCCAGCCAGAGAGCCTACAGTGGCTTCTCCATGTGGCCTGGGCTCTAGCATGGTAGCGGGGTTCCAACAGGCCCACCTCAACTGTGAGCATTTCAAGCTGCAGCAAGTGGAAGCTGTCAGGCCAGTTAAAGGCTACCTCTGTCACCATATGGTGCTACTTTCACTGTGGCCAAAGCAGTCACAGGTCCTTCTGGATTCTAGAGGCTGGAGAAGGAGACCCTAGTTCTTGCTGGGGAGTGGTGGGGCCACGCTGCAGACGAGCAGATGGGGTGGAAGCCGTGGCTGTCCCCATCGCCGGGCAACGCAGCTGCCGTGGCGGCCGGAGCTCGGGGCCGTCTGTGCGCGGCGGGGAAGAAGGGGTGGTGTGGGCAGAGGTGGTGGAGCCACCTCCTGACTATCTTTTTGTTCCTTGACCTCCAGAACTTGTACCTGTCAATCCGAGCCCTGCTGCTGGCCATCTGTATCCTGAAGGTTATCGTGTCCTTGATTTCCCTGGGCATGCGTCTTCGCAGCCTGTGTGGCCAGAGCTCCAGCCCCCTGGTGAGTCGTCCGTGGGGAGCGGCTGGGCAGCGAGGGAGCTAACTCTGCCTCCATCCCTTTCTTCTCTAAGGATTGGTGTTTTCTTCTGTCTTCCCCCTCCCCCCCCACAGAATGAGGAAGAGACAGAGAGGAAGCTACTGGGGGAGAAGTCAGTGCCCCCCTCCCCCTCTAAGGAGAAGACCCCGGCCACCATCGTGCTGTGAGCTGCCAGAGCCCCTGCTGGGCCCCCTCTTGTGCTACGTCCTTGTCCAGAGCTGCCCAGGACCCTCCCAACCCCGTCCTTGTGCTTGTGCCCCCCCTGGGCCACCGTCCTGCCCCCTCCTGCCTCCTGCTCACAGTCCACACCCACTGCTCGCACTCTGGGGCTCGCAAATCCATGCACAGATATTGCCATGTTTCCCCCAATGCTGATTAAAAAGAAATAACCAGGAAAAGCAATTTCGCCCGGGGATGTGGTTTCTCTTTGTTTATGCACCTGCTGTGCTGGGAAAGGCTTTTGTGTTGGTAGGAATGGAATCAAACAACAGCTGATTTATGCCATGGAAACGAGGCCCCAGTAAGACCGAATTTAATTACGTTCTGCTCTGCAGCCCAAAGGCAGAACTCCTTTTTATGATTTCCTTCCATCCTAGGTAAAGTGAAAGCAACTCTAGCGTGCTTAGACTCTGTCTACTCACTGAGATTGTGTAAACCTCCCCGGCTGTGACCTCCTGTAGCTTTTTTGGAACATTGTGGAGCAAGAGCAGGATTTTCCCCTCTCTCCCTCCCTGCCTATTTTCCTGCTTTTTCTTTTTGCGGTAATTGGTGTTAGTTCTCTCTCTGTCTCTCATCACACACACACAAACACACACTGTTCTTCATGTTCATTGTCAATGATAGGGTCAATTTGTTTTTTTGCTTTTTTGATTTTCTTTATACATATATAAATATATAGATGTAATCATGTCTGAGGGGCAGGGAAGCAGGTTGAGGCTTCATGAAATCTCCACGACGTCAGTGTCAATCCTTAGCAGCGTTCGGATCCAAGCAGGTGGGCTCCGGAGCTGCCCTGTGTCCTCCGAGAAGCTGAGCTGGACATGGCAGGGCTGCCGTGACAAGTGTTGGCCCACACACAGAGCTTCCGAGGGGGGCCTGCGAGGAGGGGGTGCCCAGGGCTCCACCTGTCCGTTATTGGAACAGACATTTGTAAATAAGCCTCTGAGACGGAAGTTCCGGGTATGGACAGGGGCAGCAGCGATCACAGCCTGAGAGGCAAATCCAGTCTGCCACCTGTTTTTGTCAATGCATTTTTATCGAAACATAGCTGCACCCATTAGTTTACACATTGTCTTTAGCTGTTTTTGTGCTATGAGGGCAGAGATGAGTGGTCTTAACAGAGACCGAATGGCTCACAAAGCCTAAAATACTGACTATGAGGCTTTTTACAAAAAAGTTTGCTGACTGCTGACGTAGAAGATGGTAGTGGAGCGAGCGGCCGGCTCTACTTGGCGGCCGGGGCGTGTGGCGAGCTCACGAGTCCTGGCCCAGAGGAGCCAGCCTTTGCATGAGTAGCAGGTGTGTGAAACCAGGTAGTTTCCTGATCTCCAGAGTTCAGAGCCCAGAAACCATCAGTCAAACACACCTGGGGCCATTGCCGTCCCCACCCGACCCCCAAATAAGGAGGAAGTTAGAGCCTCAAAGGCACTTAGAACTGCCTGCACCTTGTTCATTTTACCCCGAGCAGTGGAGAAACGGAAGCCCCTCGTTCTGGGCTAGACAGGAAAACGTACCTGTAGCTGAGCCCAGAAGCGCAGCTGGGTTGAGGCAGACCACATGCAGGGATGGGAGACCCACGCACAGGGAAGGGCCGAGGAAGCGACACTTGGGCTTCAGGGAAAGCCTCCGCCAGGGTCTCTCCTGTTTCTGCACATCTTGCGAGCAGCGGCACCCACTGCCTGTGTTCCAGACTCTCTTTTCAAAGATGTTTGTACCTCCTGTGAGCAGCCTTGGAAAATAGTGACTCTCTCTGGAGCAAAGGACGGGCATGCCTATTATAAAAGAATCAGGTTCCAGATGCTCGGGTTGCTCTCCCAGAACCCAAGCCACTGCGGGGCACCTGCAATGCCTGTGGGAACCGGGCTCGTGGGACAGTGCAAAAATGCTGCTACTCTGGCCGCTGCGATTGCTGTGCATAACAAACTGTTCTTTGTCTCGACTCAGCCAGGGGCTTTGTGGCTTCTGCCAGCATCTGTGAACCTGTGGCAGGCTGACTTGTTGACTTGCATGTAGGGTTAGACTTTAGACCCTTCGCTGCTCCTGGCTGCTGTGTCCCACTGTATGCAAGGCTGATGGCCGGCCGGGCGCGGTGGCTCACGCCTGTAATCCCAGCACTCTGGGAGGCCGAGGCGGGCGGATTGCTCGAGGTCAGGAGTTCAAAACCAGCCTGAGCAAGAGCGAGACCCCGTCTCTACTCTAAATAGAAAGAAATTAATTGGCCAACTAATATATATAGAAAAAAAAATTAGCCGGGCATGGTGGCGCATGCCTGTAGTCCCAGCTACTTGTGGAGGCTGAGGCAGCAGGATAGCTTGAGCCCAGGAATTTGAGGTTGCTGTGAGCTAGGCTGACGCCATGGCACTCACTCTAGCCTGGGCAACAGAGTGAGACCCTGTCTCAAAATATATATATATATATACGTGTATATATATATATATATATATACACACGTATATATATATATATATATAGCTGATGACACACACAGACTTAAGACCTAGCTTCTGACATCAAGAAGTCTAATCCGGTTAGGAAGTGAGGTGTAAAGCCTATGCTACAAAGAAAGGGCATTGACTGATTGCCAAGTCAGTGACGCACCAGGCAGGCAGGCATGCTTGTGCTTGCTGATAACCACAGGCAGACGAGGAACACAGGAAGGGAGGGCACCAAGGAGCAGACGCTTGGGGAGGGTGCCCTGAGGCTGCCGTTGGTGCAGGGACAGCCATGAGAACACAGAGTGGCCAGGGCTGCTCACACCTCGGTGTTCAAGGCGCATTTGACGGGCCTGGGTTACCTGCCCGATCACCAGCCCGACCCCAAGGAACCGTGGCCAAAGTTGGGCAGGGGGTGTTGTCACAAATATTGACATGCAGGACTCCATCTGCAAAGACCCCAGTCTACACTGCAGCATGCAGAGAGGGGGGTGGTCCCGGGGCCTGATGAGTACCAGAGTCCTTGAGGACCGGGAGGGCCCCATTCTGTGCACTTCAGGGTAGGGTGGGAGGTGGTGGGTGTTTGGGGCTGAGTTGTGTCCACCCCAACCCCAAATTTGTGTGTTGAAACCCTAACGCCCAGTGGCTCAGAATGTGACTGTATTGGAGGTAATTCAGTTAAAATGAGGTCATCAGAGTGGGCCCTAATCCAATATGGCTGTTGTCCTTATGAGAAGAGGCAATTAGGACACAGACACCCCAGAGGGGGACCCTGTGACACAGGAGAATGATGCCACCTACAAGGCAAGGAGAGGGCTCAGAAGAGCCTTGCTGTCATCTTGGCCTCAGACTCTGGCCTCCAGAACCGCAAGAAAGGAAATGTCTCCGATTTAAGCCCCAAGTCATTGACACTGCGTTCCGGCAGCCCTAGTGAACCTGCATGCTGGGGGCATGGGGCCGGGGTGCACCGGGAGCACCCCAGCACCCTCTTCTTAAGTCCCTTCCCTGTTCGCTGTTGGGAAGCCCCTTATGCAGCCTTAAGCCTCCTAAAAAGGGGAGCCTCTGATGGTTGGGGAGCACACCTCCCTTTGCCAGGGCGGACAGCTGCAGCTCCCTGGGGCTGGCGTTCCCGGGCACAGACACAGCCATCGTCAGTCACACGGGCCACTGTCACTCAGCGTTGGCTGATCCTGCTGCCCTATCCCCTCCCTCTACATCAGACCTCCCATGGGCTCCAGGACATCTCCCCACCCCCAGAGCTGCCTTAGTCGCACCCGCCTCTTCTTTCTTCCCAACCCTCTCATGTAATCTCACAGGCGTGTCTGGTACAATGCCTTCCAGGACGATCTCTAGTGAACCCCATGGGCTTTCCTGGTGTGGTCTCTTCCGGGAGCTCAGATGCTAAGGTGAAGAGCAGAGTCTGGTGTTTTCAGCTTTAGCTTTTAGCCCAAACTGTCAGAGGCCAGGGCATGCTTCTGAAATGCCTTCCCAGCAGGGGTCCAGCCACGTGGCCAAAGAGAGGAGGGGGAAGTACTTGGGAAGTGGGGGGCTGATCGTGTCTCTGTCAGTTACCCTATGGCAGCACTCCTGGCTCCTCCTCAGTGTCCTCTGTCCCCTGGAGCAGAGCCTGAGACTCTGCCCTTTCTGTTTCTACTTGGGGCAGATGGCTCTGCTAGCCCAGAGTGGGACTTTGTGGGAGATGCCCTATCTCAGATGGGGCTTGTCTGTCCCTTGGGGTGTGTCACTGGAGCAGATGAGACGGAGGAGGGAGAAATTGTGGCTTGCAGAGTGAAGGAGTAGGGGAAACCCACCTGCCCCCTTTGTGGGCAGGGGGCAGGTCACAGCCACCCAAGGGATGGTGGCAATGCTGACCTGCTGGCACTGGCAAAGCAGGCGTCTGGGTCATGCCCAGCAGGGAGTGGAGAGAGGGAAGATGTCACAGTGCCCCCAATCCCCTGCTTCTCCATGGGCTGGGAAAAGGCTGTGTTAGTCCTGTACCCAACCTCATGGCAGGTATTAATAAATATTTGCTCAATAAACAACAACAAAAAATTTTTTTAAGGGGAAAAGGTTGATTTCTTTTTCACTTCCATATTCTGTAAAAGGACAATTTCGGCAGCCAGTGGGTGGCCTAAATTTCTGCTGCAAGGGTGGAGCTTCCTATAGTTGCAAAATCTCTCCGACCTCAGACCTGCGGAGTCAGCACTTGTGTTTTCACAGGATCCCAGCAGCTCTGTGTGCTCGGTAGGTGTGGAGGAGCACCGGTTTAGATACCGCAGCCAGGCGGCTCCAGGGGGAGAATTCAGATACGGAACACAGCCCCTACAATTGAATCTCTTTGTTTTAATTCTTTTCACGAACTTCTTAACCTTGGAGTTTTAAAAAGGAATTTTAGTGATAAGAAACACTAAAATCACAAGCTCAAGGAGGCATCTTCACTTTCTTCCTTAGCTTAAGATGGTATTAATTTCTGTTCCTCTATGTTTCTAAGCTAGTCCTTTTATGGCCAGATTGGACAGAAATTCCTTTCCTTTTTTATTCTGGTAAACAAATGTCAACTTGGTGGGGTGGTTTTTCCCCTCCCCCCTTTTTTTGGTTGTTGCATGACATGGTCTGTTTCTGTCTGGCAACTTCTCTCCCCGTGCCTGCTGGAGTTTCCAGGTCTGATAGGGAAGACAGTCTTCCCTCCCTGACCCGCTGCCCTCCTCGCTTCCTCTATTCCCGCTCCCCGGCCCCTCCTCTCTCCCTCCC